CTTTTTCAAAACCCAAAACATAAGAGGCGATTTTCCAAACGATTCCACTTCTTCAAAACGATTGGTAAGTGATTTCTAACTGATTTTCTAAACTCCTTAACATCCTTAAACATAATTTCAGCTTCAAAACAAAGATTTTAATGGGGAAATTGGGAATTTAGCGTAGAACCTAGGTTTTCTAAAATTGGGGGTTTTGGACCTCAATTCGAGGTCCGATTCCAAAATAACTTACATATTTGAGTTCATGGGGGAATGGGTAAACGGGTTTTGGTTCGAACCTCAGGTTTTGACCATGTGGGCCCGGGGGCATTTTTGACCTTTTGGGGTAAATTGATGAAAAAGGCTATAATTAGTCATTGGGTTTGATTTGCTTAGAACATATTGATATCATGAAGTCCTTATTGCATAGATTTGGTTGAGTTGGAGCCGAATTCGAGAGGGAAAGCGATTGTGGAGGATTGTATTGGCCGTGGAAGTTGAGGTAAGTGTTTGGTTTAACCCTAGCTTGAGGGAATAGGAGTCGAGTCTTGTTTGCTAATTGTTAAATGATCAAGTACGATGTATAGGCATGGTGACGAGTTCCTATACATCAGTGTCTAGCATGACCGTGAGTCCTTGTATGTAGACTGTTTGGATATTGTCATGCCTTCCATGCTTAATTGATGGTTTCTATGCGTTGTAAACACCTTGTAAAGGATAGGAAAAATCTCTCCTTTGTTCTTTCTTGTCGTGCGGTTTGGTTTCTCAATGCTAATTGAACTTCTACTCTGTTTCCTCGCAGAATGGCGAGAACACGCGCTTCCTCATCTTCAGACCAGCAGTCCGAGCCGCAGGCAGCTCCCGCTAGCGGCAGAGGACGAGGCCGTGCTAGAGGCCGAGGTAGGGGCAGAGCTCAGCCCCGAGCAGCAGCACCAGCGGCGGAGCCTCAGGTCGATTTTGACGAGGAGGTTCCTGCCCCAGTCCCAGCAGCGCCAGTTGGCCCAGCTCAAGTCCCAGAGGGGTTTATAGCCACCCCAGTTCTTCAGGACGCTTTGGTCAGATTGGTAGGCTTTGTGGAGTGCATCACTAGAGCGGGTTTGCTTCCAGTAGCACCAGCCACTTCTCAGGCTGGAGGAGGAGCTCAGACTCCTGCTACACATACTCCGGAGCAGGTAGCTCCGCAGGCTCAGGTTCCAGTGGTTCAGCCAGCTATGGCAGCTCAGCTAGGTATTGTGACTCAGACCGGCGATGGAGCGGCTATGTCCGCAGATGCTTTGTGGAGACTGGATAGGTTCACCAAGCTCTTCATCACCACTTTCAGCTGTGCTTCTTCAGAGGACCCCCAGGATTTCTTATATAGCTGCCACGAGGTTCTTCGGAACATGGGCATTGTGGAGTCTAATGGAGTTGATTTTGCTGCATTCCGTTTATCTGGGTCCGCCAAGACTTGGTGGAGGGATTTCTGTTTAGCCAGACCAGCGGGGTCGCCAGCATTGAGATGGGATCAGTTTGCAGAGTTGTTTTTGGAGAAGTTTCTCCCAATTACCCAGCGAGAGGCTCTTCGCAGGCAGTTCGAGCGTCTCCAGCGGGGCTCTATGACAGTCACTCAGTATGAGACCCAGTTTATCGATCTAGCTCGCCATGCTCTTGTCATACTCCCCACTGAGAGGGAGAGGGTGAGGAGATTTATTGATGGTTTGATTCAGCCGATTCGTCTCCAGATGGATAGGGAGGCTGGTAGTGAGATCAGCTTTCAGGAGGCGGCCAATGTGGCCCGCCGAGTTGAGATGGTTCTGGCACAGGGGGGTAGCCATAGAGCAGACAAGAGACCCCGTCACTCAGGTCGTTTCAGTGGTGCCTCAGCTGGAGGCAGGGATTCTTATGATAGGGGTCAGCCCTCCAGGTTTCTCAGGGTGGCCTAAGTGATCGTGGTTACCGTGGGCATTATTCTGATCAGCAGTCCCTCAGTGTACCGTCAGCTCCCATCAGCGCACCGCCACTTCAGAGTTTCCGTGGAGGTCATTCAGGTCGCTAGGGCCAGCCACAGCGTTCAGAGGGGTGTTATGAGTGTGGTGAGTATGGTCACATCAGGAGAGCTTGCCCGAGATTGAGGGGTACTCAGTCGCAGCAGCAGGGTCCCCGTCCTATGATTCAGGCACCGAATGCTCCACAGCCAACTAGAGGTGGAGGTAGAGGCCATAGAAGTGGAGGTAGAGGACATAGAGGTGGAGCTCAGACCGCCAGGGGCAGAGGTCAGCTAGCAGCGGATCGACCTAGGGATACAGTTCAGGGTAGTGGGGCCCAGCCCCGTTGCTATGCACTCCAGGCTAGGCCCGAGGCAGAGGCCTCAGATGCGGTGATCACAGGTACGGTTTTGGTTTGTGATCGAGATGCTTCAGTACTATTTGATCCAGGATATAGGTATTCATATGTTTCATCTTATTTCGCACCATGCTTGGTCATGCCTAGTGATGCCTTGGGTATTCCGGTATATGTGTCTACACTGGTGGGTGACTCTATCGTGGTCGACCGAGTCCATCGTTCGTGTGTTGTAGTGATTGGGGGTCTTGAGACCTGTGTAGACTTGTTGCTCTTAGATATGGTTGACTTTGATATCATTCTTGGTATGGATTGGTTATCACCCTATCACGCTATCTTGGACTGCCATGCCAAGACCGTGACTTTAGCCTTACCGGGTATGCCTCGCTTAGAGTGGAGGGGGACTCCAGGTCATTCTATTCGTAGTGTCATATCGTATGTAAAGGCTCGACGTATGGTCGAGAAGGGGTGTCTGGCTTATTTGGCCTATGTTCTTGATTCCAGTGCTGAGGTTCCTCCCATAGATTTTGTGCCTATTGTCCGGGAGTTTCCCGATGTTTTTCCTTCGGACCTGCCGAGTATGCCGCCCGATAGAGATATCGATTTCTGTATTGATTTGGCTCCAGGCACCCAGCCCATTTCTATTCCGCCATATCGTATGGCTCCGCTGGAGCTGAAGGAGTTAAAGGACCAATTGCAGGATCTGTTAGTTAAGGGTTTCATTAGACCCAGTGTTTCGCCTTGGGGCGTGCTAGTGTTATTCGTCAAGAAGAAGGATGGTTCGATGCGGATGTGTATAGATTACCGGCAATTAAATAAGGTAACAATTAAGAATAAGTATCCACTGCCGAGGATTGATGATTTGTTCGACCAGCTTCAAGGTGCCAGGGTATTTTCCAAGATTGACTTGAGATCTGGCTACCACCAGTTGAGGATTAGGGCATCCGATGTCCCTAAGACAGCTTTCCGTACTCGGTACGGTCATTACGAGTTCTTGGTCATGTCGTTTGGGTTGACCAATGCCCCAGCAGCATTCATGGAGTTGATGAACCGAGTGTTCAGGCCATATTTGGACATGTTCGTGATAGTCTTTATTGATAATATTTTGGTGTACTCCCGCAGCCAGGAGGAGCACGAGCAGCACCTTAGAGTGGTTCTTCAGACTCTAAGGGATAGTCAGTTATATGCCAAGTTCTCCAAGTGTGAGTTCTGGCTGAGTTCAGTAGCATTTCTAGGTCACGTTGTATCCGCTGAGGGTATTCAGGTGGACCCGAAGAAGATAGAGGCAGTCAAGAACTGGCCTAGGCCAGCATCAGCTACGGAGATTCGGAGTTTCTTGGGGTTAGCAAGCTACTACCGTCGGTTTGTGGAGGGGTTTTCATCTATTGCAGCCCCGATGACCAGGTTGACCCAGAAGGGTGCACCAGTTCAGATGGTCGGAGGAGTGTGAGGCGA